TCCTATCCTATAGATGCAACCATCTACATAACGGGTCCCTGTATGCGCGCCACGCTTCCTACTACTTAGTGACTGACGTCTGGTGCAATCAATCTCTCCCCGTTATGCTTGCCTTTTCTTGAACTCGGGTAGATTTCGCTTGTCTCCGTCTCGACCCTCCAAGTTTGGTGAGAGCAAGTAAGAATGGCTGTCGTGAACACCGAGTTGTATCAGTAACCCCGAATTTCCTGGTGAGAATTGGAGCTTAGGCAGGAGCTGCCTGAGTGACCGCTGCTCCTCTTCCTTAAGGCTCCTCGCTTCTAGTTGTCCTAGGCTTCTGGGTAGCGAGGAATTTCGTTAATGGAGTTGGCTAGGCGTTCCTCGATTTCCCCGTCTCCGACGAGGACATTCGCCACCCACTTGCAGCCACGCTCATGGGTATCCATCCATCCGTCGTGGGTTGTGGTAACGAGCCTTCCACAACGTCAAGCCTAATGTTGATGAAGCCTGACGATTGCCTCGCAGGCCCGCTACTACGTCTTCTGTCGGCCTCGGTCCGTGTTTCCACACCCACTGACTGCCCACAGCCATGACCGCCGACTTCAGTTGCATCCCGGTGTTGAGTCCAAACCGTCGCCGACGGCGGCGGAACATCGATATCCACCGAGATCCCTTGGAGCGGCAGCGGCAAGTCACAGCTTAGGTCAGCGCGGCTCCGATCGTAGCTTATGGCGCCGCAAAGGTCGACTTCGCTATCAGAGGAACCTAGCCGTGGCGTGTGGCGACAATTCGGGCTATCGCCAGGGCCGATTTCGCGCGGGATAATGGCAAGCTCGGCCTCAGGTTGCTTCGCAATAGAAGCTGTCCTTTTGAAGCTGAAGCCGTGCTGCATCCTGTGTCGGGAGGACCCGCTGACGGGATTCGACAGAGAGGGCATAACCTTCACAACGAGGGGCCGGAGCGTCGGAAGGCACGCGCAGATCAGCCCACTACAGACTTCGCCAATGGACCACCCAGCAGTCTGCACGTTCTCCCACGTGAAGTCTGCGGTCTGATGGAGGTGTGGTATCCGGACAGCCGAAATCACGCATGTGCTGTCAACTCTGTGAGATTGGTGTCAATGTGACATTTACTGTCAATATAGAGCACATACAAGAATCCAAGGCAGAAGATACCGCCTAAAGCATATCTCTGTCTTGAAGGCAGCTTCAGGCCGCTGATAACCGGTAACGGCAGAACAAAGACTATCAGGTCGGTGGCGATATTCCCTGCGGCGTTGATGTACCACAGAGGGTAGTTCGGGATACAGCTGCCTCGGACGCTCTTATCCCAGAAGGCGTTCGTAGGGATGCAGATCAAGACCTCCACCAGAACTTGTGACATGCTCCAACCCCCGACGAGGATCATCGCGCCGAACAGCAACTTCCTCATTCTTTGCACAGCAAATAATCGCCAGTACTGGAGCAAGAACGTCATTTTGACGCCAGCGAGGGCGGCATTATAGAAGACGACCGCAGTATAGAAGGTCTACTAACTGTTAGTTGACAAGACACGTCAAACCTCGCCAACGAGGGCTGCTATACCCTTAGATACTCTTTGATCTGGTCTTCAGTGAGTAGATACACATGCATACCGAGGCCGTTCCTCAGGTCTAGAAGATCTGCGTCAGCTATGCTCTCACCATCCTAGCTAGAATGTAAGAAACTCACTGATCGCAACTGCGAAGTAGCAAGCGAAGAGGAGAAACTAGGAAACAATATTGGCTTGACGTTGGGTGTGGGTACGAAAATGGGTGTTAAGTGGGTTAACTCACGAAGGTTAGGATAGCAGCGCTATCATCAACACCGAATCTTCGCAGCAAGAACACACGAGTGTACGTTCGCATGATCACTGCGAAGAGAGCCAATGCGAACGCAAACGATGTGATACCAACCATGACAGCTCGTCGGCTGTCGCTTGACTTGGCGCCGGGACGGCCTTCCATTCTATTCGCCGTTCCCTGGTGCCCTAGCGAGAGATGGCGCTCGTTGAAAGACGAGAGGAAGGGAATGTAGAGAAAACTTCGAACCGAGCCAGGGTTACCGTAGTGGGACTGAGCTATATAGATCCGTCCGAAGGATAGAGCGATCGCACTCTTAGGTTAGCTCTTCAACACGGAAGGGCGGGAGGAGTGCCGCACAGGTGCCAAGACGAAGGGGGGATTAGGGGAGAAAAGAAAGAAATAAAAAAAGAGAAGGCAAAAAAAAAAAAGAAAAAAAAGAAAAAGGGATTGGGTTTGCCTCTCTTGCGGGAGCAAAGTTTACGCTTTGAAGTCGTAGTAAGCATAGCGCCTCATACCGAAAGGAGGGTCACACTATATCAGGGGGGGGTTTCAGACTGTAGTTACGCAGTAGACACAGAGAGTATTCCATGGTAGAAGGCGTCGACCGCCGTCTACAGGGACCACCTAGTTCGGTCAGAACTTTATTTCGGGTGACAGACCAGGACCATCTGCTCGCAGTAATTATAGGCTTGGCGAACACTACCGAGGCTGCCGGAGGGGAACCTTGACGTCCTTGGCGAAGCATGCTGCCCGCTGCTGCTGCTGAAATGTTCTCCATCTTCAAGGTGTGTAATAGATATAGGATCCTTAGTAAGACTAGCCATCTCGACATATAATAACAGCCTCTCTTCCGTGTTTTTTCTTTTTTTTTCTTTTTCTTTTTTTTTTTTGTTTTTCTCCTTTTTTCTCCCTTTGTTTCCATACCTCCCCAGGGATTCAAGATGTTAGCGCGTCACTTCTGCGTCGGTAGATACGCCTAATTAGTACTGGGGTATGTTACCTTCACAGAAATCTAGGGGAGGGCGACATATCGTTTTCTGGACTTTCTCTGGACCTGGGCTCAAAGAATCTCCAGAAAAAGATGTGTTGTATCTTTGCCCCCATAAGGCCCTGTTAAGACCTCTAAAAATGATGAATGTTCCTACTAAAGAAGGCTAGTATAGGACGGCGCTAACATTTGGAAACCCTGAGGAGGTATAAGTTCTTTTTCCCTTTGCAAGGAGGTGTTCGTGACCGAGACCGAGCGAAACATGGGTCTTACCCCTGAAGGACCGGCATCGTAGCTCCATGCAATCCTCGGCTATATGGAAGTGATCAAGCCTGTGTCCGGAGTGGGTTTCGTTTGAATTGGTTAGCGCTTGCGACAGACGGGCCCCCTAATATACCCTGTAGTACTATTTCCAACTAGGATTAGGTGTCTCTGCTGTCCGCGCACTAATTAGCGGGGGTTCTAGCGACGGAAGCCGCTGATTGCAGCCTTCTACGGTCCTACCTCGTTCTTTCGGTAGCCCAGCAGCTTAGCAGGGCCCTCTTAGTTACACTGCTAGCTAGCTACTACTAAGGGGTCAAGGCAGTAACAAGAACAAAATCCCCAGCAAATAGACATTCGTGCTATCGCAATAGTATTAAGCTAAGCGTTTGTAGCAGTATCAAGACGTGATTTGATCGGGTAAAGTAACTGGATCTTCCAGTGAGAGCATAAGTGTAGCTGTCAGTATCAACCAAGTACCTATATAGTGTTACGACCCGTAAACAAGGATAACAGCTGAACGACCCACTTGGGCGTCGAGCGGCTAGGACAGGACATTTGTACTGCAGGATCACGGGAACAACAGGGACTCACTCGGTACGGAAGAACTATGGTACAAATCACGTGACGATAAGATAAGAGATTAGATCCGTACGCCAAGGATACGGAGGCCGTACTTGGCAGGAACGGATCCCGTCAGAAGCAAAGACGGTAGTAGAGACAATAACACTGTCTAGGATTTGTATATAGGATGGCCTGGGCCTAGCCTAAGGTCAGACTTCCATAGCTCTTCAGCAATCAACTTAGTATTCATCCTCAGGATACTCTCAGCTTACCTTCACTGCGAATTACTTATTAAGCCTAAGACTGATCACCTTAGTCTCTGAAGACCTGATCTATTAACAGCCTACGACCTACGACCCAGACCACGACCCAGTGTACTGTTACTACGTGTCAATCCCCAGCTTCTGTTAGCAGACCCTACTGTCGGATAGCTGACCGTAACATATAGCACGGAGCAGGGAATGGTTGGGTCAGAGACATCATCACGGAAGCCTTTGCTCTGCGCTACAGTTAGCTGCCCTGCCGGCTCGCTTGCTCGCATCTGGCTTTTTCTTCTTCCCAAAGTTAGTATGATCTCAGGAGGGGAATACAAGGGTTAGCTACGGGTACCGGATGCTTATATACGAAACTCCTCTGGAAGAGTATACTGGGTGATTAGGAAATACACTAGAAGACTGGACGTCGCTTTGTGCCCGCTACCGAGCTTCAACGGTCGGCCTACTCTGCAGCAGAAACACACCTACTAACTTACTAGCAGGCTCCCATAGGGCCAGTCCAGCCATCGCTTGACTATGTCGGTCATCAGCCTGCTACATCAGGCGCGCTGTCCTGGTGTCAAAACAACACGTTCTAGTTTATATAGGGCAACTTCATCACCAATCATAGGCGGAAAATGCACCTCGTAGGACGGCTGCAATAGTTAGGTCTCGAACAGTGAACTCATAATTAAGACGGTGCCGTTATGCAAGCAGCAGGTTATCCTCGACACTTGGCCTTGAGCATTGTATAACACCTCTTTACACACCGCAGGGGAGGCCGGGGAACCAACTGCAAATCCGGCTTATGAACGAGTTAGCTAGACAGAGAATGTCTAGCATGGGTGTCTGATGACGTGGGTTTCTCAATGCAGTGATACAAGAGCTACTATTAGAAACAGGGAGGGGGGCCGGAGGAGGGGGGAACTAAGTAGAAGAGAGGATGTTAACGTGTGCATCCTGGCGTTTACCGACCTGACCGTGCTCTGGTCAATGATACCTTAACGTTCCATCGTGAATGGATCTGCGCGTAGACTGTTGGCCATCGTACATGTTGCCCTGATGGGGATGATACATCAGGGATACAGCCATTGTTGGATCCGGACTGGCCATAGCATTCAACGCCTGAAACTCATAGTACGCTTGTTGATGGGGATGAGGAGGCCATCCCGACTGCGCTTGTGTTGGCATTGCTCGAGAGGCTGCGGATGTGGTCTGAAGGTGCGGCACGTTAGAGACTTTTAACAAGGACTCCTCGGCCAGTTCGCCGGACTCTATAACTTGTTGCATAGGTGTCTGGCCGGCCATATGCATCCTGCACGTACTGGCGACGGGTGTGACGAAGTCCTCGCGAAATCTGCTGATGCTGTCGGGATCAGTGCCTAGAAGAAAGGCGTACTGAACGAGCAGCTTAATGTCGCCAATGTGCCGGCATTCTAATCTCTTCCGCAAGATGTTGGACGTCTGAGGGGTCCACTTGAGAGATGTTCTTAATGCTTCGCTCTGTGTCCACTCGTTCCAGGTGAGCTGCACCTGGCTCTGACGGAGCAGATTGCCCATCCTTGTAGAGTACGACCATCCGCCACGACTGGCGCCTTGCTCAAAGTGCTCGGCCACATGACGGACGTATTTTTTGAAGGTCGGGCTGGCGTTGGTGTACTCCGGGGCCTCAAACACTTGCAAGCAGCCGTCAAAGCCGCAGGCAAATACCACCTGCGGGCAGAGTTTGACCTTGGCTACGTCTACGGACACAAGAGAATCGCAGTGGACCTGTTTCAAGTGTACCTTGTAGACGCCCTTTGAATCAAACACCATATGACAGCCATAGTGGCGGCAGAACCACTGAGCGTCGTTGTAGTGAAAGTCTTCGATATGTCGTTTGAGGTCGCTCTTCCTTGCGCAGGTCTTGATGATACCTTCCTCCCCGCACAATCCACACACAAAATACCCATTCCGCTTCAATTTCTTTAGATCAGCGGATGACGTCCCCACTGTCGGCGGTTCCGACACCCGCTGCTTCACCCGAATACGTCCAGCCCGCCGCGTTGCCGAGGTGCAGGTGGCAACGGAAAGGTCCCCACCTTGGATGTGTCTGCTCGTGGGTCTCGAACCGTCCCGAGAGCCCTTTGGCACTGCCACCCCGGCAGTAGAGGATTGGAGGGGAGAATAGCGTACTCTTTCGGATTCCCATAGGCCAAAGTCGGCTGATCCCGTGGATGATATCGCAGTATAAATACTTGACGCTTCATCGGGAGCTGCGTTGCGTTCAGCCGGCACTGGAGAAGCAATCGACTCCTGGACCAGGCTCTTTAATGCGTTCATGCCGTATCTATCGACCAGGTGCTTGATCAACTGCCCATCACCTAGTCTCTGCGCAGGCGACACCATCATAGTTTGCCGTGAACTGTTGGCTTCAGGCCAAGTATATGAGGCCATCGTCTTGGGTATGGGTCGTTCTTGCTCCTACGTCGGCAACAGCAGGATGCAGATGCCGTGTGACGAATAAGGTAGCTGCGGGCTTTCGTGAAGGCTATCGGGGACTGAACAAGTGTAACGACGCGATTCATAAACAGGATAAGACGAAGTGGCTCGGAGGAGTCCGTGAGCAGGCTGGAAATATACGATGGGTTTATTGGCGGATGGGTGGTTGGCACCGGACGCCGTATAAGCCATAAACACAAGAACGCTTTACCAATGTCTGTCAAAAGTTGCCAACGAAAAGAGATGAGGAAGTTTGCCCCAGAGTGTTGCTCGTAGAGAACAAGGAGAGGCGCAGCGACTGGCAAGCCCAAACTGGCCTGGGTTCAACAAGTGATAAAAAGGTTGGACGAATAGCACTATATGACGGATATTAGTTCTTGGTTTCCGGGCCTGTCTTCAATTTGACATGGACCGATGTGGCCCCCCGGCCAGTACCGTCGGAACCGAAACAGCGGTCAAAAGTTCCCTTGCTGTGAAGCGCGCTAGGGGGTGGTAGATGGGCAGGGATAAGGATGGTTTAAAGCGAGTGGATCTGGCTTTTTTGCCAGTTGGGCCAGACCGGCCACCCAGTCTGACAGTGCCCCTCCTAGCCGGTTTTTGTCTTTTCTTTTTTTTCTTTTCTTTTCTTTCTTCTTCTTTTCCTTTCGATTAGGTTAGGAGTGCTAATCTTACTAGGGCATTAACCTCTGTTCTAGCCGTAGTGTATCAATTGAGACGAGAACGGCAGCTGGAATGACCACAGAAGCAGCCAGACATTGTGGAATCGAATTGAAATTAGTAGGAAAGTCTCATCCGCACAGTCCAAACCTAGACCCAGCCTTCCGTCGCAGGTGGTAATCCTCTCCCTCTGTTCTTGTTGGTCGCCCACTCATCCCAAGTTAACATGAGTCACAGCCATAGGTATATCTTCCTCCCTCCTCGCAATTGGACTTTCATTCTCTGTATCGGAACGGTATTCGTGGTGGCTATAGTGGTGGTTTTGTGTCGCTAGAGTCCGCCACCTCAAGTTGATGTTGTGACCATGACGCAAAGCCAGCGGATGCGAAGTCCAGAGATCACTCTCGTATCTCTCGTATCCATGACTCGAGAGGACCGTGGTCATTAGCGACCAGCAGGCTGCAGCGAGATTGTTATAAAACGTGCTGTGCGCAAGACTTTCCCACATAATAGTCAAGACAACGACACCTCGCCGATCAGCACTATCTCTAGGGCAAATGGGCACACAAACGACCCCTGTTCGGATGCCCTGCTGTAGTCTCCATTCTATGGAGCGTAATAGGGGACGTTGGTGAAGGCCAGGCTCGGCAACAAGGACGAGCAAGCAACCAAAAGGGCTGAGGCTCTGCATCTAGCAGCGCCGACTTGTAAATGGTAAGGGGGCCATCATGAATATCGAGTCCACCAGTACAATGGCACAGGCACTATCCGAGTGCCCGGCGCATCCGTGGGCGCGTGACTGCGGGTGTCTCCGTACTTGACGGATCCAATCTCCACATGCCGTCGGGCAGCACAGAGGACCGTCGTCGTGGCGGCTGCATTACCTACTTATAGGCGGGGCTTCTCGCCCCTTGTCATGCTGCTGCTAGTCGCACGGTTCTAGCTCATGGCTTAGCGACAAGGGGCCTTGTATTTTCCCTCATTAACTGTCCTCCTCGGAAGGATGATTGGCATTGGAGACGTCAGAGAGTTCTTCACTGATGAGTAACGGAGTCTCGAGGCTTGATTCTAGCTCTGCTTACCTTTGTAGTGGGTCGAGCGTCGATCTTAGGCCACGCACCTATCTAGTAGGCCTCGGTTTCGGTCGGTATATTGTCCGCCTGTGTTGTCCGGTGACCTTACGGGTAGGCGAGGCCGCGAAGACCGCGGGGACCGCCTCATAGTAGTGGAGTTTGGTCGGGCCTGCAGCCAATGCAGTACCATCTGTAATACGGCACTCCCTCCGTGCTTTGGTTACCACTACTATGATTAGCTATCGCAGATGGCTTACTACTTAGTAAACCTTTCTAGCATGATATTCCTGGCCAAAACCACATATGAACAGAGTCCAAGAATGGGGTTCTCCTATCCTAGGGGCAATCTTGGATTACACGCTTGTTCGCATAGCTACTGTAAATGGTTGTTGTCTTATGCCAGCTTCCTAGTATGTTGCTACAAGCATGAAATCCAAAGCACTGCCATGTCGTTTTTGTTGGGACAGCTGGCATTCTGCATACTTAAAAGACCTCTTTGTTATAGTGTATGTGTGAGCTCGCACCTTTCGATCTCCAGGCCCAGAAAACCACGACGAAGGGCCAATAAGTATCCATTCCACCTTTCTTGTCATATTCGCTTGAACTCTAAACCTGCGTAGCAGGGGACGTCAAACTCGCCTGCGATAGAAGCGGCAGCAACGCCTGTGATAAAGGGAAAGAAAGAAAAAAAGGTCTCTTCCCCAGAAGGTGTCATGCAACCCAGGTCTGCGCAATACTTTTCGCCTTTACTGCTGCGACACAGCCGTCTTCACCGAATCTACCGCTATAGTCACCCTAACATAATCACCTGCACACTTTTCCCCACTACCTGAGAAGTAGCAGTCTTCTAAACACACCAAGAAGACCATCTATTGAGGTTAGTAAGAGGTGTACTGGGTATTATTGTGAGCAACGAAGAGTTCCTGGTTACGTGTGTGGTTCGGCTGAATGCATCAGATCCGTGTGCGGCCGCCCCCCCCCCCCCCCCCCCCGGTTTTAGAGAGCAACCGAAATCGGATGACAGCACCCAAGCGATGTTAGTTGTATACAGTACTCGGTCTTATGATGGAATTCCGACGAAACTCGATACAGTCCCTCATTTGACAGTCAACTCTCACCCCTATACCGCTCTTGGTCCTCACCTCGTTGCAATCATTCTCCTCTATAGAACATACCTAACACAGCCTGTTCCAGCCCCACAGCCTTAAGCGTCTTATGGTTCTTCTTGCACACAGACTCACCCTTGAGTGATTCAGCTTAGCCTAAGCCTATGGAGCCGACGAATAGTATGGGGGGTTACGTCTCAAAAGGACGTTGGGCGTGGGAACGGATGGTACCAGTTTAGTTATACTAGTCCACTAGGGACAGATGCTAGGTCCCTGACAGATGTATCCGCAGTCGAAGGATCATCCGCAGTGGAGATCGCTGTATGAATTCAAACTCGGGCGGGAGGACCGGATTCAACTGCATGGTAAGAACAAGCTTGAACGGAAAGCTACCTGCTACGGAAGACGATATCATCCCTGACAGTGTCTCTTCTTTCGACGAGAGAAGCACGAACAGCAGCCCACCCTTTGACATTATATACGGCATCCGGATTCGACTAAGCGAGTATATGGCGCCGGGTATGGCCACCGGCCCCTGAGACAGCTTAGAATGATGAGAAGTAGCTTTAGTAAGATATACAACAGCGGCATCATGCGTTGCTGCCAAACCGGCCTTACAGGCCCTCTCTAGAGGAAGCCTTCTGGACTGTTGAGGTTCCTTTAGCGACGTGTCGGCACCTCTACGTCCTGGCTTCGTTCTTTCTTAAGCTCCCTAAAGCCACCCAGCTGACGTGCTCGCCCTTCTAGAGGCCACTGAACGCTGCTCTCTGCAGGTCTCTCTGCAAGGTGAGGCCGTTTCTATACGGGCGGATTATGTACGTGGAGGACAGTATAAAGCCTTGGTTGTAGGGTGTTACAGTAAGAATAGTCCGTTAAGTCGACTGACACTCCCCGTCTGCTATTCTAGTATCTAAATGAAATTAATCGAACATCATACATCTATTAGTTATAGATAACATCACTGGTTCTGCTACTTATAGTCGCGTTACATACAGCGAACCCTTGTCTAGGTATTATCTAGTCCTTAATCGCCTCTATAGCCAAGTACCTAGCTGATAAGACACGTCATGGGACTGACTACCGCCATTCTCAGGGACAACTCCGAGAGAGAACTTCGAATATACTAACAAGATGCTATCCGTGCGATTCCCCGTTGGAGTGCAATGTCTCTGTTACGTTTTAGCACTATAGCTGCGTTTGCGACCTTCTTAGATATACCTAAAATACATAACATAGGGCTCTGATGTGATTTGCTGTCTTCCCCGTCTCGGCAGTGTGTGGTTTCTAGTAAATACGCGGAGGAGACTGAAATGTGACCGTCCCCCCACTGCTTGTGGCAGAGACTGAAGCTGGGAGCTGAATAGGAGAAACAGATCCCCGTTCCGAATAGGTCCAAGCCTTTAATCTCCCAATCTGTCTTTCACTAAACCCTAACCTAGACTGTCAAGAATTAGGGCTAGAGGCATACTTAGCTACGGGGTGTAATACTTTTCAAGCAGCTCCGCCTCT